GCCCATGTACCAAGTGATGGTTCAATATTACATTGTCGCATTTCTTTTAATAATGATAATGCTAAATTAGGACCACGTTCATATAATGAACATCGTCTTAATGTATAAAGTATTGAATTAAATGTACGTAAATTTGGTTGTATAAAATTTTCTTTCATTTCATTTAAATAATCATACATAAATTGCCAACGTGTATCATATGTTTCTTTAATTAAACTTGTTGAACGAAGTATATAATTATATGTTATTAAATTAATTGAAATATTATTTTGTTTCATTTCATCAATAATTATCATACCTTTTTCAGCATGATTATATTTAAATAAACCACTAGCAAATGAATTATAAAGACGAATTTTTTGTTCAAATGTTGCTAGAATTTTTAATTCTTCAAACATTTGTTCAGCTAAACTATTATCTTTCCAAATTCGTTGTATTAAACCTTAAAAAAAAAAAAACAAAAATTTATCTTATACAATACATTCAATCGAAATAATCTTATAGTTATTGTTTTATTATTGATGATTTAATAGTAGAATTTTGTTTTTATCATCGAATATAAACATTCTTATGTTAATTATTCGACTTATTTATTCTCTATTGAAATTATTTGAACATTAGCCTTCAAATATTTTATTTGATTCTATTTCCTATATGATTTGAATAAAAAAACGATCTGTATCGAAATCGTTTTCAAGAGCGTTATATTTTATTGTACAAACTAATTTATTATAAAGGTTCGATTTACAATTTCCTCAAAGCTTTATAAAGATAAGGAAAAATTAACTGCAGCTTCTTCTCATAGACATGAGTCTGAAAGATACACTATTTGAATTCCAAAAACATATCAATGTATACAACGAATACTAAAGAATAAAAGTTACAATTCAAAAAATCTCTTATGTTGAATCTAATTTATTAGCGAGACTCATCGTATGCTAAATCATAAAATGATCAACCCGTTATGATTATTAATTGGGGTTCCGGAATTTCTCCAATAGGACTTTCGCCATTGGAGACAGTCCACGGTACTTTCGGTAATACACCCCATGGAATTTCGCCAATTGGCGAAAGTCCACAGTAGTTTCGCCAATATGATCTCTGGAACTTCGCCAATTGGCGAAAGTCCACTGTACTCTTGCCAATACATTCCCTGGAACTTAGCCAATTGGCGAAAGTCCACAGTAGTTTCGCCAATATGATCTCTGGAACTTAGCCAATTGGCGAAAGTCTACTGCTCTTTCGCCAATATACCCTCAGGACTTTCGCCATTGGCGAATGTCTTATTGGCGAACATTCCGCCACCCTATTAATTTTGTTCTCAATTGACAAGAAATCAATTAAATATGATTTTTGAAAATTGATTCGATGGGTTTTTCTTTTCCTTCGAATACTCTACCTGATTGATTTGTTTCATTTAATTCTCTTCTATACCAATCTTCTTCGGGTGGTAAAATTTCTATAGGATTATCACTATTATAAATACATAATAAATCAAATAAAGCATATTTGCATGCATCAGAAATATTAATTTTATAATCTAAACATTTTTTATAAATTTCATAAGCTTTAGTAATTTTATTCCAATTCATTAATTTATATAAAGTTGTTTCATCTGGTTCAATAAATTCTTTTTCATCAAATATATAATTTGGAAAATATGATGGTATTGATGGAACAGCAACATCATTAAAAAATGCATAAGAATAACGATCCATAATCCATCGAGCTGCTTTTTTACCTGAAGCTTTTGATAATGCTAATTGTCGTTTTTCATGTGCTGATGTTGGAATTAAAAATGGATCATCCATATATAGATAAGTTGGATTTCCACCATCAGTTTGAACACATGCATTTAATGATTCAAGTATTGCTGTTGGAGAACGATTAATACGTTGTGGATATGTAAAACTTTTCGAACGACTAACCGCTGATGTTGAAGTATAACGATGAAAAATTCTACAGAGCATTTTTATTGTTTTCTTTTCTTTTTGTTTTTTTTGATATTTATCTAAAACAAAAATTTTCAATCATTCTTTGATAATTATCTATTAGCTGATAAATATTCACAAAGAGAAAAAAAACAAAAATCAATTGAAGACTTATTCAGAAAAGTTTAAAAAACTTGTCGTATAATCGATTTTGATATTAGTTTAACATGATATCATTCATGTAGGACTTAATAGACTACCATACATTCTGAAATGAATAGTTCGAAGCAAGAGAAATATTTTGAATTTCATTGTAGTGATAGTACTGAAGTATTAGTGTTAATTCGAATCTATGAGTTTCATAGGATCCTTGTGATATATTTGTGGCTGCTGCAATGTCCTTCAAATCGATAGGCAGCTCTAGTTCGAAAATATTGTATATTCTTAAACATTCATTCTTTTATTGACGAAAGTTAAAAACAATAGGACAATAAAACTGAAAAATGTTAACCTCGAAGTATTCATCTACTAAGGACCTATCTTTAAACATATTTGATTGATCCTACTTGCTTTATGAACTTTTCTATAGATTTTTCACTTAACAATGTTACAGTTTTCTGCATATTTCTAGGTTTCCTGACTGTAGAGTACAGAAATAAATTACATAGAGTTAATAGAAGAAAGCAAGTACAAGATGATACGTAAGATAGTTCTAATAGTGAACATAAACAGTAAAATAATCAAAAATGAGATCACAGTTCAAAAATATGAGTATATCATTCAACCATACAATCTAATCTGACGTAGATACAAACGCAAATCTGACCATCTTAAGATTTGTTACACGTATACTATTTTCAAGAGATCAATAGAATGATCTCTGATGAACTTTACTAAGAGTTTCTTTTAGGAAGCGTAAAAAAGAAAACGAGAAAGATTCAATTTTTCACATAAATAGATCTGTTGAACATCATTCTTTCATTTCTTCTTGAATCTAGAAAAATTCGATCACTAAATTCCTATCAAAATTTTGAATTTTTGTTCGATCGGAAATTCAAAAATATCTTTTTTTTTTAATTCATTCTCTTTATTACAATCAAATAAAAAATAAGAAAACGAAAATTTCTTCTGTTATTTTTTATAATCAAATAAAAATAATTAATTACTCCAAATAGCTCCTCCAATTGTATCCATTTTTGCTCCAGTTACTGAAGCTAAAACATTTGGTTTATTTTGTATACGTAATAAACCAATAAATGCCATAATTAATGCTTCTTTAAAATCAATAACATTTCTATTAGGATATTCAACTTCAATATTAAAATTTTCTTTAAGTTTACTTTTTAAACATTGAAATAAAAATATATTATGTGCACCACCTCCTGTAATTAACATTTTACAATTATTATATGTTGATTGATCTAATTTTTCATTTTTAATAATCATTTGTATTGAATTATTTATTTGTTGTATTATATGTTCAATATAAGTACGTAAAATATCATTTATATTTATTTTATCATATTCTAATAATGGATAAATAATATCAAGACCAAATGAATTTGATAAAGATTTTGGATATATTTTTTTATAATAATCTAATTGATTAAGTTTATTTAATAATATTTCATTTATTTCACCTTTTGATGAATATATACCATTTTCATCATATTCTTTATTAAAATATTTTTCAACAAGTTTATTTAATATACGATTAGCAGGACATATATCAAATGCAATTTGATATTTTCGATCAGTTATATTTGCAATTCCACCAATATTTAATAGAAGACGATATTCATTAAATAAATATATTTCACCAATAGGTACAATTGGTGCACCTTGACCACCATTAGCAACATCCATTGAACGTAAATCACTTACAACTAATAAATGTGTTTCAGCACATATTGCTGAACCATCTCCTATTTGTCCTGTCATACCATTCCATGGTTCATGAAATACAGTATGACCATGAGATGAAATAAGATCAATATCATCTAATTTAAGATTATATTTGGTAATAAAATCATTCACACATTGACCTAAATAATGACCATAAGATGTATGTAAAAGAAGATATGATCGAGCATCTAAATCAATTGCTGTAGATAATTTCTTTATCCAATAAGGTGAATAAGATATAGTTTCAGCATGAACAATATCAAATATCCATTTTTCATCTGGATAAGTACCAGCTGAAGAAAAATCTACACAAGCAATATCAAGACCATCTAATGAACTGCCACTCATTAAGCCAATAACACGGGGCATTGTTTCTCCTGTATGAATATACGTATTTTAAACAAAAGAAAAAAAAAAGAAGATTTGAAAGCTTTGAGACAAAATGTTTCTGCAGTTTTTTTCTCATCGATCAAAAACTGCGTGCAAAAATTTAAAAAGTCTTGAGTTAGAATCATTGATTAGGAATTATTTATGCATCTTTAAATCATAAATTGCTCTGAAAAGAAAAGATCTCATAGCAATCATCCAGAAATGACAGAGTTGACTTTGAAAAGTCTAGCAATCAAAGAATGTAATTATGTCTTATGCTGAAACTTTAATTATTAATATACATCGTACAGAAAGCTAAAGATTAGTATATCATTTTTTTTTTTTTAAGAAATGTTTCCTCTTTCGTTTTCTGTATTCAAAATAATTTTTAATTCCTAACCTATGAGTTTTGTTTTTGTGCACTACATCTCATCGAAACTTTATTTTCGGACCTTATAGAAATGCACTCATAACTCTTATTCTTCATTCGAAAAGTGAAGAATATATTGATCTAAAGCTAAGATTTTCAAAAAAAAATTCTGCTGGATCTTGTAACATAATGTCTCAAAACTTTTCGTATCGCCCCTCCCTTTTTAATCAAAACCAAAGAATAAAGCAAATCGAAGAAGAGACAAAGCAGCAATATTCATACCTTAAGACTCACTCGAACCAAAGAACTTCTATAAAAATTCATAGAAATTATAACACCGAAAATAAATAAAGAAAAAAAGAGAGGTAAACAATGAATCATGTTTTACTTATGAAAAAAAAAACAAATAAAACAAAACAAACAGATCATCTGATTAGATCTCGAATAAAAAAAACATTTGAAGAAAGTTGTTCAAGTAAATCTAATTGTTTATCATCATCAATATTATTATCTTGATTATTTAATAATAAAACTAATTGTAAACGTATAAATGTATCTAAAAAATTGATTTCATCATTTGTTAATTGAATAATTTCTTCATATGCATTAATAATTTCTTTAATATTATCAATAAATAAATCAAAATTTTTTAGAAAATAAAAAATTAAATCCATAATATAAAATGATTGTTGATTATTAGTCCATAAAAGACCAAATTCTAATTGATTTTCTTCTATAATTGAAATTTTTTCTTGACATGTATATAAATTTGATAGAAAAAATGGATAATTATTTTTTTTTTTATTAATTATAGATGCATATTGTTGATTAAACCAATCATTATCATATGGATTTTTCCATAATATTTTAAGATTTATACGTGTATGTAAACGCCATTGTCCTAAAAAATGTCCTATTTGTTTATTTGATGAAAAATTATTATTAAAAATAACAATATAAGATTGATTAATAGATCTATCAAGAATTGTTCCATTAAATTGACATGATAATAAAATCGTTTGTAATTGTTCAAGTGAAATAGATGAATGTGAAAATAATTTCATAAGATATTTATTTTCAACATTAATTAAATACGTAGACGAATTTTCTTTTTCATATGATAAATATTTTTCTTTATAAATTGATTCAAATAATTCTTTTAATTGATTTTCATCAATTGATGGTATATCAATATCCATTTTATCCTTTAAAAAAAACATGGATTTATATTAGAAAATTTCAAATATAACATGAAAAAATTCCATAACTCAATGCATTTTCTATAATCCAGTGAAAAATATTTCCGGAAGAGAACACATTCATAAAAATATAGAGACTTATCTTTTATATGAAGAATGTATTCTACAGCTTAGCGAATGTTTTCACAAACAAAAAGAAAAGTTCTGAGTGTCATTCTTTACTGTTTCACATTAGTACGAAATGCTTTCTTCTCAGTTCAAAAATCGTTCCCTATCTGAATAGAAAGCGTTCTGAACCGTTCTATGAGCCAATAGAACGTGCCTATGCCTATTCTATTTCGAAATATTCAAGATAGGATTCCATTGAAATGAGATCGTTTTTTTCAAACATTCTCTTGAGAATGAATTCTTTTGACTGATGAACGATTTCATTTGAGTTTAACATCACTTTTGATTCAAAAATGACAGCTCTGAAACTGATACCAAAAATGGTGGAATCTTCAATTAGAAGTCGTGATTCCAAAAAAATTTTTTTTTAATAACAGTTTGAGCTACGAAAAATTAGAACATGCCATTGGATAGAGCTCGTCGAGTTGCATCAGAATTGATCTTTCAAAAAGTTATGTCTGAACCAGAGATGTCCATCGCGGTTGAAAACTGACCAGTGCCGCGCCGCGACGATAAAAGCAAAAAGCTAACGCGCCGCTACCGCACCGCGGTGAAAAAAAAACAGAAAACCTACCGCGACGCCACCAAAAATAACCATGCTACGATGATTGTTAGAATAATGTTGTGAATTTTACGATCTATGACTGTTCAGGACTAGAGCTGTTGTTACCAATCGATAAGATTCGTTGAATCTCATAGTTTTGCACTTGCAAACATTGAAATTCTGTTCGAATTCATGCATTGTTTTCCAAAAAACCTACCGCTACCGCGATGGACATCTCTGGTCTGAACTTCTCTTCGAGAACTCTTATAGTGAATCTAAATTCAGGCAATAACGACCAAGAATGCGTTCCAAAAAAGCTGAAACAGTTAAGAACGCATTCCACTTTTGTTGAAACATCTTCTTTTCTTAAAAAAAAACAAGGACTTTTAATTTTACGAAACACGTTCTTTCCCGTTCTTTGAAGCAAATATTTTTCACTGGGAATTAATATTAGCTGTAAATGTTGACCACTATCTTGTTTATTACAAGAAAATCACAGATGTATGTATACGATAATGAACGATACACTCTTTTGAGATTATTCATACAAGATATTAGGAAAAATTCTAGCAAATGTTAATATTAGAAAATATCCAACAGATTTGAATAGGAAAATAGTAACTAGATAGAGAAAGTGAGATATGTATAGGACAGAAAAATAATTTATATCATTAGCTAACAACATAGTCGGTATCAAGTGACTTGTTCAGAGGTTTGCAAATAGTACACTGTGGATATGTATATCGAGTAGTATAACGATTGAACTATGACGATGCGATCTTGTGTATTCGAAATCGAGTGAAGCCTGGTCGAGACAAATGAAATTTTGCTTGAATAAACGTATTCTTTTATTTCTCATGTTATATTGTTTAATCTTAGTATTTTATTGAATTTTCAAGTTATGATGTCTGGATCATGGTTGATTATTATTTCTATTTCATTTCACAGGACAGAGTGTATTCAGTCTGATATCGAATCATGATGAGTTTCGTTCATTGCCCTTCCTGTCAACACTTTTAGCACTCTAAGGATGAAAACACTATCCGTTGAATTTTTAGTCTCGCTCACTCCAAAAAAAAAATATCGTCAATTTTTCCTTCAATTGTATCAAGTCGTTGTTGCAGTAGTAAGACAGCAACTCTACCAAAATATACCTTTTTTATTGTGATATGTTTCCACACTTTATATGACTCGTCAATCAAGCTAATATCTTGTCCGTAAATAACATCCAACGAAAATATTAGAAGTCTATAAGAATTTACCTTCATGTTCTGTTTTTCTCATGTTAATACGATTTTATCGAAAATTCTTTACCTCCAGCAAAGTATCAGTGAAAGAGTCGTATAACGAAATTTCTTCTGTAATAGATAAGTCTTCCGAACATCAGAATGTTAAGTATAAAAGGACATACTCTTGTTCAAATATTGAACATATATGTCAAATTATAATTTTATTTTATTTTTTTTACTAATGTATATATCAGAGAAAATAAATTTGCAGAAAAAAAATCTATCATATGAAGATTAATTCTTATATATATAAATTTTGCTATAATATTTAATTAAAACTTACAATCATCATTGTATTAATATCATGAACAATTTTTTCAAATCTTCCAACAGATATTCCTGTAAAACGTTTACTAATTCGAATAATTCTTTCATATAAATCTTTATTTTCTTCATAAAATTTTTCATTTTTTCCTGTTAATTCACGAAATGTAACAGCTATACGTCTATTTTGTATATGTTGATATTGTATAGAATGTTTATATTCATATCTAGCATCACCATAAAGTACAATCATCCAACGACGTGGTAATGGTATATAAATTATTTTATTTGTATTTTTTTCATTTGGTATTAATGTTAATATTGTATTTGATAATAAATTTATTGTTATTAAACGTTCACCCCATATCCATATATCATCAATATGTGAATCAATATGTGAACCACGTTCTTGATTATAATCTAAATTACATAATTCAACTGATTGAAAATCATTTAATAATCTATAAGTTTTTAAACGTTGAAGAATATCATTTGAATATATTGGCATACCAGTAAAATATTTTGTTTTAATTGTTTGTTTTTTAAAATTAATTTTAATACCAAAATCTTGTTTTAAACGACCTGATTGTGATGATATCCATATATCATTATTAATTGAATTTAATAAATTATTTTCTTCATTTTCATTAAGAAAATCTGATACAAGATATATACCATCTAATGGAAAACTTATATCATTATTAATATTATTATTATGATGTGGACATTGAGAATTTAATTCATATATATCCATACGTATTGCTTGACGACATGTATCACAATAAATATAAATTATATTTGTTGTTGATTCATTATTTATTAAATGATCTTTTTTTTTTGTTTCACAAAGTTTACATGAACGAATACCTTTACATGCACATGATGATGTGAACATCTTTTTTTTTGTCTATATATATAGAATGAATATGAAGAAATGAAATGTGTTTTTTTTAAGGTTGTAAGAGGGCGCCACTAGTTTTGAATCTATACAAATAAATTTTTGAAGTTAAAAACAAAAAAAAATTAATATTTTAGTCAAAATAGAAAAAACAAAAAAAACTTTTTTTGAAGTTTAGTATGAATGATGGATTATGACAAAGTAATTGATAATGGTTAATTTTAACCAATAGAAAATAAACGAAATAATAATTTTTTGTTCTCATTTTCATTAACTACTACGAATTAATCGGTATTAGCTTTTGTTTTTTTTTTTGTTGAATACAAATATTGTATTTCGTTCGTAAACATTAGTGTTTTTATTTCAGAATAGAATTCAGACATGTTTCTATACAAATGAAGATCTTCCCAATGTTTTTTACACATTCGTGATAACTTTGATTGTGAAACACTATGTGCCGTTCTTTGATAGAGTGAATAAGCAGACAATGTCTTTGGAAAGTGAATAGGATTTAGTGATAAGAGCCAGATTGCCTAATGTCCTCTTTTTTTCTTATGAATTTCTGATACTAACTCTCTAAATCAGTTTAAAAACTAACAGTTGATATAAGTATACCATGTAGATCTTTGTTAAGACCTTCACCGTCTGAAATTGTGAATACTATTTGTAATTAAATTGAAGAAAATAGATTTCATAAGAATAATTAGTATCTGATAGGTTTTAATTGATCATCTACAAAAATGTTCATAATTTGGATGAAGTTTTTTGAAGCATTTTTTTTCTACATTTGATAACAGCTTTTGAATTTTACAAAGAAATATTTGCATGACGAAATCGCTGATAAATTTTGATTCAAATATCTTCATCGTTCTTAGAAAAATTGTTCGCTCTCCTTTATTATAAATCCAAAAATACTCAAAGTTGGATGTTTAATCTCTTGTAACTCGACGAATATTATCCTAAATTTTTAGACCTCTAGTCCTTATTATAGGGAAAATTTTTTTTTTCTATGTCCAAAAATTAAAATAACGATGCATACAATTCAAAATTTCAGTAAACACTTTTTTCTATATGTTTCAATAGGGTACGAGCAGATTATTACGAAAAAACAAAATTTTTAGCTTTTGAGGTTGAAAACTTTAAAGGAAACCATTTTTGTCATAAAATGCATCATTTTTCAAAATACGCGAAATTTTCTCAGCTTATGAAACTATTTTTTTTGGATGTATGAAAGCTTTTTCAAAAGCTAAAAATCCATTTTTTTGTAACCATCTGCTTGCATCCTATCGAAACATATAGAAAAAAAAAATATTTACGGTAATTTTGAATTGTGTGCATCGGAAATCGTCGCTATTTTAATTTTAGGACATAGGAAAAAAAAATGCGAGAACCTCGGATTTAAATCCGAGTGTTATATGTACTTCAAAAAGTGAACAGGTATATTCACTTTGTTTTTTATCATCTGAGACATATCTAGGCAATTTGGTTTCTGAATGCAGTTTGAGACCTTTTTCAGGCGATGTTTTGTTAGAAAACTACGATTTGTTTCAAAACTAATATCAAATTCGAAATCAGCGTTAACTACTGAGTCGATTTATATATGTTGTGAATAATTCTGAGAAAAATTTCTTTTTTTGAAAAAATCCCTGTACCCCCCTCAGGGATGGTCTGGTCCATAATGACAATTCTTTCGATAACTCAGCTATCTCTTGACGGATCCTTCTCATCTTCGAACTCGACCGAGACATTGTTAAGACTGAACTCTCCTTTCAAAAGTTATCGTGTTAACAGCCGGACGGACATATTGACCGATTCTAGAGTGTACTCACTTTTTGAGTACACAAAAAGGAAATCTTCTTTATCATACGAACCTATGTATCTCCCCTGTAATAAGGACTAGACGGTTTGAAAATTTACGGTAATATTTGTCGGGTTACAAGAGATTAGACATCCAACTTTTGCGCGTTTTTGGATTGATAATAAGGAAAACCGAGCAATTTCTTTTAAGAATGACGAAGACTTTTGAATCACTCTTTAACTTTCGATGTGATTGTCAAAAAGAATGTAGCAACAAAGTCAATTGATCCTATCGAAATACTTCAGTAGTCAAACACTTAAACGTATCTTATAGAACACACATTTAATTCGATACTTTTAGACATGTAGCCATAGTATAATCATTCTCATCGTTGTTCCAAGGCAGCTAACATTGAAGAGCAAGGCATTACAATCTCGCGCTTATGTCATTTCTGATCATTCTAACATATTTTGATTATTATAATGTTGAACTTCAATTCTTCTAATCTTGTTTAAATTCTAGATATTAAATTTCTATCATCTTTATATAATAATGGCTGACAAATCGTAAATAAAAACAAAGAAACTTTCTTTTATTTTATGTTTAATTTAAATATTTGTTTTTTTTTTTGTAGTTCAAATGATGTAACAATTGAAAAACCAACATCAACAACAAAATCACCTGTAAGCATAATGTTTTCTTTATTGTTTTTTTCCTTTTTTTTTTTCTGTTCGTTCTATTTTTGTAGTTAGATTTTTAAGAAAGAGATATTTTTTTTTTGTTTTTGCTTTTGTATAAATTAAATCTAATCTAATCTATCATTTTTCTAATCCGAAAGAGAAGTACCATATGGTTCTACTTGTCATCGATTGATTCAATTTAATGACGATGATCAAATGGGATAATTTCATTTCAAAAATAGATTGTAAGTTTTATTAACGAGATATCATATATTTTATGGGTAGGTATTATAGAAATATATTTATTTTTGTTCTTAAACAAATCAAAAAAAAAAAAACAATTTCTTATGTACAAAGAATATATTTCATGTAGTAGAGAGTAGTATTGGATGTTTTTTGTTTTTTGTTTTTAGGAAAAAATTAATGATAATAAATTACGTCATAGAAAACGACATGATCGATCTCGATCATCATCAATAAAACGTCATCGACATAAACGATCACGATCAAGATCAAGATCTCGTCATCATCGACAAAAACGACATCGACATAGTCGATCACGTTCACCACGACGACGACGATCAAGAACACGATCAAGATCAAGACGACATTCACCACGTAAACATATAAGTCCAGGTAAAATGATTAGAAATTTGTTAGTAGTAATCGTCATTACTTTTTTTGTTTTTCTTTTCAAGCTAAAAATCGAAATTTACATACTGAAATACGATTACATGAAGATGGAAAAAAGCGTATTCAATTAGAAACATTACAAAAATTAAAAGATATGGCAGGTAATTATTATTCGAATGAAATGTTGTTTTTTTTTTTTGATTTTGATTCTATTAACTTTTTTTTTTTCTTTTAAGCTAATGATACATTAGATTTATCACAATTAACAATTGAAGATTTAAAAAAAGCTGTTGATGTACCAAAAGAATTACGATCAAATCAAGGTGCTACAATAATGTATCAAATGGATGAAATTAGAAAATTAGTAAGTTGAATAATAATATTCAAGAAAATATAATAACAAAAGAAAAAAAAAAAAGAATAGTCTCGAACTACAATCATTCATTTAGTTATTAAGACTATAAAAATAAATATATTTTATGTAACAAATAAACCAGTGGTAGAGCTCGTCGGAATCAAAATTTTGTATCCGGTCAAACAGTAATTCTACACTCTGAACGAAATTTTGTTAATTGGATAGTCGTTTCGAAGATATTTTTTCTATTTGATGATCAACGACTCATCGTGCAGATTTCTTAAACGACTAAAGTCCGTTGAATCCAAAACTAATCCGACTGGCTTAAACTAGTATTTTATCTAGAATGAGGGCTGCGCCTTTTCGAAAATCTTCTCTTAGAGTTTTTAGCGGTCCCTTCGAAAGAAAAAATACTGAGGTAGGAGATAATGAATAGTCACGTTTTGTATTTTTTGTCATCATTTAATACGTTTTATTGCAGAAAAAAAATAGACTACAAGATACAGCTTGAAAAACTGTACAATATAAAGCGTATTTTACTATGAGCAGTGAAAAAAGTTCTGAGAAATTTCAAAAAGGATCGTGTCGGATTTGGTGACCTACTCATAAATTAATAAACAAAACGTACCATGTTGTAGAGCAAGTCGAGGCGCGTCGAATGGTATATAATAAATCTTGTTTTCAAAAAATTCTACCGGACTGGATTTATTGATAGGTGGTCATGCATTCAAAGCGCTGACTATTTTAGGCCTTAGTATCAGTCGAAAGTATTTGTAAAAATAATTTTCCTATGTACAGTTTTGTAGAGTTTTTCACGGGTAATGTCTGTCGGTGAGTTTTTGAATGTATGACTGCCCACTAGTAAATCTAATCTGATTTCCTCAAAATTTTTTGAAAATAAGTTTTGTTATATACCATTCGACGTGTCTCGACTTGCTTTACAACATAGTATGTTTAGTTTATTAATTCTGAGTAGGTCATCAAATCCAACACGATCCTTTTTGGAATTTCTCAGAACTTTATGACTGTCTATAGTATATATATACTTCTAGTTTTCAAAGTATTGATAATGCCGTATGGAACTATAATCAACAGTCAATTTCAGAGAGATTGATATTATTCTAAATATAGTCTTTCTTATTTAAACCTCGTAAAATATTATCATATGAGAATTATGTTGAAGATATGTTTCAATATATGTACTAGATGATGATTTCATCTATCAACAGGATAATCTCATATTGCGTACACATAAAAAAAACATTGTCATGTTGTGAAAGAAATTTCATAAACGATGATAGATATTCATATCAATGATCTCGATTATTCTATATTGAGATACGATCGTCAATAACATATGCGAAAAAAATCAATTTGAAACAAAAATTTTGTCTATATTTTATAAAAGCTAAAAGTGTGTTTATATGAAATAAATTTTTTTATGATATAAAATATGTTCGATAATAAATAAATACAAAAAAACGATCATTCATTATAGCCCACCTACTATTTTTCTCTCTCTATGAGATTG